ATATATATATATATATATATATATATATACACACACACACATACATACACACACACACACACGTATAATTACAATAATAAATAAATAAAATACGTATATATTTATGTAATATTTTTACATAATTAGGTAAATTTTATTAATTACAATTTGCGGGACCTGCCTGACAACCCAGGCCGAAAGTATAGGGAATTTAATTTGCTAGCACTATATTTAACCCTATAACTCTCCAAGACACCATAAAACCTGTACATGGGGGCTACTGTTTTACTCAGGAGACTTCTCTGAACACAAATATTAGTGTTTCAAAACAGTAAAATGTATTACAACAATGATATCGTCAGTGAAAGTGGCGTTTTTTGCATTTTCCCCCACACAAACGGCACTTACACTGATATTATTGCTGTAATACTTTTTACTGTTTTGAAACACAAATATTTGTGTTCAGCGAAGTCCCCCTCATGAATAGGTTTTAAGGTGTTTTAAGGTGTTTCAAAGTTACAGAGTCAAATATAAGGCTTGCGTTTCAGTTTTTTCACATTGAAATTTGCCAGATTGGTTACGTTGCCTTTGAGACTGTATGGTAGCCCAGGAATGAAAATTACCCCTATGATGGCATACCATTTGCAATAGTAGACAACCCAAGGCATTGCAAATGGGATATGTCCAGTCTTTTTTAGTAGCCACTTAGTTACAAACACTGGCCAAAATTGGCGTTCAAATTAGTTTTTTGCATTTTTCACACACAAACAAATATTAACGCTAACTTTGGCTAGTGTTTGTGACCAAGTGGCTACTAAAAAAGACTGAACATACCCCATTTGCAATACCTTGGGTTTGTAAATTTGGAGTGTGCTATTCCTGTACCTCATTTTGTGTTCAGCTAAATCTGCTGAGTACAACGATACCCCCATTGTATGTCTTTGGCACTATTTCGTGAAGCTACAGTGCCATATAAGAAACCTGTCCATTTCAGTATTTACAGTAGAATTTTGAGAGACTGATTTGAGAAGCCTATGTTTCAATTTTTGGCATTATAGCAGTTTGATTGTTAAAAAAAAAAAACCCTCACAAAGGCCTTCCACTTGTAAAAATAGACACTTCAGGGTATTGTCACGTATTTATCCACTTAGAAAAATGTGGTTAATGGCATTTACTTTCCACACAGGAAAAGTTGTGCAGAGCAGCAACCAAATCCACAGAAGGGTTAATGCTGAGCAGCAATTATGCAAATGGGAACCTGGTAACTGCCTTTGGGGTCAAAGCCGGTTACAGCCGATCAGATCTAGAGGAGGGGTATTTAGGCCCAGTTCTCATCCTGCTCAGTGCCCTGTCGGAGTTTTCCTTGTGGTTGTCCGAGAGCGCGTTCCTGATTCAAGTTTCTTCTGGTTTTTGACTTTGGCTTGGATTTTGACTTCCCTGTATTCTGTATCCATGACTTCTGGCTTTCTCTTATCGTTGTGTCTCTTTCTGTATCCCCTGACCTCGGCAAGTATCCTGACTATTCTTTGGTACGTTAAGTCCGGCCATTCTAAGGCCCGGTAATACATTACCTATTAGTCATCTGTGTGGCACAATTCTACGTGCTGGATCAACTAGTAATCCTGACAGGTATCTCTATTGTGCCTTAACATGCCGCCATTTTTTCACCAATATATGTCAAAGCTTGTGGTTAAAAAAATAATTTTGGGAATTTTTAACATACGGATTACATTTTTGCTGGGCATTTTGTATATTTGATATGTGCCACTATGATCAAAGCCCCCAAATTATGCTCTGCTAAGTCTTCTGAGTAATACGATACCCCCAATAAATGTCTTTGGCACGATTTCGTGAAGCTACAGTGCCATATAGGCCTGTCCATTTCAGTATTTACAGTAGAATTTTGAGAGACTGGTTTGAGGGGCCTATGTTTCAATGAGGGGGCCTCATTCGCCGGGGGAGGGCTGCCTGGGCTGTCAGGCAGCCCTCCAGAAGAGGATCGCTCACATGGCCCCCTATAGCTGGCTGTGGATCTGCCAGCAGGGGGACTGTCTGAAGTGTCAGACAGTCCCCCTGCTGGTGGGAAAGTTAAAAAAACAAAAAAAATAATAATAATTAAACATGTTTAAAATAAAAAAAAAATATATATATATATATATCTCACGTCATACAAAGTGTATTTTAATATTAATATAAGTACATATATTAGTATTAAAATACACTTATGCATGTAGCCCAACGAAATGTTATTTGAACCTGTTCTAACCCATATAATATAATAACACATATAATGGAAAAGTGTATACTTTGTGTACAAAACCAAATAAAATACAAATAAAAAAAAAACAAAACAAAAAAAAAAATACACTTAGAATGACATATATATATATACATACACACACACACTAGAGATATATACACACACCACACACTAGAGATATTATATATATAATTATATATATACATATATACACACACACACACACACACACACACTAGAGATTATATATATACACATACACACACATATTAGAGATATATATACACACACACACGTATAATTACAATAATAAATAAATAAAATATTGAAACAATGTAATATAAATTATATATTCATATGTAATTTCATTCTAATTGTATTTTGTTAATATATATATGTAACAAAATACACTTAGAATGACATTCTATATATATCTATCTATATATAAAATACAAATAACCGTGTGTGTGTGTGTGTATATATACACACACACACACACATATACATACAATTACATAAAAGATTACATTAGTATACACGTAGAATTTAAATACCTATAAATGCATATATATTAAAATTCTACGTGTATATTTAAGTAATCTTTTAACATAATTATGTGATTTGATTAATTAAAATTTGATTGACGCGCCTGACAACACAGGGAGAAAGTGCAGAGAATTTAATTCGCAAGCACTATATTTGACCCTGTAACTTTCCAAGACTCCATAAAACCTGTACATAGGGGGTACTGTTTTACTTGGGAGACTTCGCTGAACTCAAATATTAGTGTTTAAAACTGGTAAATTGTATTACAACGATGATATTTTAAGTAAAAGTGAAGTTTTTTGCATTTTTTACAAACAAACGGCACTTTTATGGACTATATTATTGTTGTAATATGTTTTACTCTTTTAAAACACTAATATTTGTGTTTAGTGAAGTCTCCTAAGAATAACAGTACCCCCCATGTACAGGTTTTATGGTGTTTTGGAAAGTTAGAGAGTCACATATAAGGCTTGCATTTCATTTTTTTGACATTGAAATTTGCCAGATTGGTTATGTTGCCTTTGAGAGCGTATGGTAGCCCAGGAATGAGAATTACCCCCATGATGGCATACCATTTGCAAAAGTAGACAACCCAAAGTATTGCAAGTGTGGTATGTCCAGTCTTTCTGAGTAGCCACTTAGTCACAAACACTGGCCAAATATTAGTTTTTTGCTTTTTTCACATAAAAACAAATATGAACGCTAACTTTGGCCAGTGTTTGTTACTAAGTGAATACTAAAAAAGACTAAACATACCCCACGTTCAATACCTTGGGTTGTCTACTTTTTCAAATGGTATGCCATTATGGGGGTAATTCTCATTCCTGGGCTACCACACTGTCTCAAAGGTAACATTACTAATCTGGCAAATTTCAATTTGAAAATGGAACATTCTATATTTGATCCTGTAACTTTCCAAAACACCATAAAACCTGTTAATGGGGGGTACTGTTGTCCTCTTGAGACATCGCTGATTACAAATATGTGCATTTTCTTTGCAGTAAAACCTAACAGTATTATGACATTCACAGCTAAAATGTCAGACGGAAATACAAATTTAAAAAAACACAAAACTTATTTTCTCACATTTTTTAAAATTTTTATTCATAATAAATTATGTTCCATATATGAATAGTTAATGATAAATTAAAGCCCTGTTTCTCCTGAACAAAATGATATGTAATAAGTGTGGGTGCACTTAATGTAACAGCGGTGAATTACGGTTTTACAGACATATAGCGCAAATTCCAGTTTTTGTTTACATTTTGTTTTGATCAGAACGTGCACTATTGACTCTGTCCTGAAGGGGTTAATAAATGTTTCATTGTTTTCCAGGTTGCCAAGAAAACATTGTGAAGATGAATTTTTTCTTTGAGACGCTGAAAGTTCTGTTTCTTACAATTTACTTGATATTTGAATCACTCATCTTGTGGATAATTCCTTCTCGGAGGAAGAATGTAGCTGGTGAATTAGTGCTAATTACTGGAGCGGGCAGTGGAATAGGACGGCTCTTAGCACTGGAATTTGCCCGTCTCGGTGCTACATTGATTTTGTGGGATATTAATCAAGAAGGAAATAAAGAGACAAGTAGACTGGCCAAAGAAAATGGTGCTGTCCGAGTACATACATACACATGTGACTGCAGCAAGAGGGAAGATGTGTACAAAGTGGCCGACCAGGTAAAATCATGTAAAAAAAAAAAAATATTCATACACACACACACACACACACACACACAATGGTAGGGGTACCTATGAGAAATGGAGCTTCTGCATTAATCAGAAATGATGCACCCATGTCAGTTTTGCCTAACTTGTGCCACTGCAGGGTTTAACTCCGTAGAGCTAGCAGAAGTTTCTGCTTAGGAAACTCCAGTTCCCCAGGTTTAGTAGCGGAGGTCAACTATATTTCATTGTCTTTGTATGTACACTGTACAGTGATGACAATAAAGCTAAATCTTAAATCGGGAAAATACCTCGCTGTGCCAATCAGCATCTCCTCATAGAGATGCTTTGAATCAATGCATCTCTATGAGGAAATATTTCTCCACCCAGAGCGTGCAGACGGTGAACGCCAGTGCTGATCTAGGAACCACCTCAAGTGGCCGTCTGAGTGACAGACCCTGGAGGTCATTCTAGGCAGCAATGTAAAGACTGCCTTTTCTCTAAAACAAAAAGGGAGTGTTTGCATTGAAAGGCCTTCAGGGACATGCTGTAGTCATCAAAACCACTACATGTAGTTTTTATGGTTCTGGTTACTATAGTGTCCCTTTAAGTTGTATTTTCATGAAGGTCACCTTTAACTTCATGGAAGTTTTAACCCCTTAAGACCGGAGGGCGTACTATTACGCCCTATTCTAAGCGGCTCTAAACGCCGCCGGGCGTAATAGTACGCCCTCCGGTCTTTCGGTACTTACCCGGTCGCCGGCGATCGCACGCCGGCGATCGCGGTGGGGGGGACTCCCAGGGAGCCCCCTGCGGCACATCCGTCCTCCTCGAAGCCCCCCGGCCATGTGAGAGTGGGGTCCTTGCGAGGACTCCACAATCACATGGCCGGGGGTAGCTGCCTCCTGCATTGCCAGCAGGTGGACTGCCTGTAATGACAGGTGGCCCCCCTGCTGGCTGAAAATAAAAATAAAATAAATAAATAGTGTAAAAAATAATAATAAGTATATATATATATATATATATACACATATACATACACACACGTACACCGTCTAGGTGTATTTTACTATTAATATATATATATTAATATCAAATTACACGTAGACTGATACTGATTAAATATATATAATTATTGTTATATATATATATTTATATATAATATAAAAAAATAAAAATGTAAATACGTTAAAAAATAAAATTTAAAAATTAAAAATAAATAATTAAAAAATATATAGATGTGTGTTATTTCGTTCTAACTGTATTGTGAAATTAATATATATATCAAAATACACGTAGAACGAAATAATATATATATATCTATATACATAAATATATACGTATATATCACTATATATATATATATACACACACACACACCTATATATAAATAAAAATATTTAAAAAAATTATATAGAAATATACATATATTATACACATACGTATATATATACACACATATATTAATTCTTCATATAGTTGAATGACGGAGACCCTTGAAACAAGGGGATCCCAGAAGTAGCTGCTGAACTTAACAGAATAAATAGTATAGTTACCAGGTGGCAAGTAGAGAAAAAGAGGGGGCTGTACTTGTAAGTGGATAAAAGGGTGAAGGGGAATAAATAGAAATACCCATATATACCCTATATAAGCCACTGCTAGTTGTATTTAATAGCAGCAAAGGAATGTCCCTTTAACAAAAAAAAAAAAAGGGAGACTCTAGCATTCATACTAGAAAAAATGTCCAAAATTAGGACACCTAAGTTGCAAAAATACAATAAGGCAACACAAAATATGTGTAATACATAAATCACCCCACTAATATAAAGGCAAGCAAACAGGAGCCTATGCAAACATGAATAGGAGAAAAGAGAGCAAAGGAGGACAGGGGCAGACCCACTAAGGACAAGCCCTAAGTCCAGAGGAGACCCCCAGGACCAAAGAATGCCTGCCTAGAGAAAACTCTAAATGCCAAATAATAAATTGCTAACTATACTAACTAAATCAAACATACTAACTACCTAAGTGCTACCTAATGTGAGAAAAAAAAGATAAATCAAATAAGGCGCTCGACACGCGTTTCAGCGTGCATACACGCCGTCGTCAGGAGCTATTGCAAATGCAGTTCCTATTGAAGCCGGTTAAATACCTGAGCAATCAGAAAAAAGTCCCTCCAGCTGGTCCAGCGCGTGGGAGGAGTGGGTGATTGACATGGAGTCACCACTCCTCCTCAACCCTGTCATTGCTTATGCTGGAGTCTCATTGGAAAATAACAAAGTCAATCACTGAGAGGTGGGGGAGGGACTTATGCATAATCAGAACACACCTATCCAAACCCTGCTGCTCACATGGGGATAACCATTGGAAGATCTATCAGTCAATCAATACAGGAGGAGGGTGCAAAATCAAGCATCCCTCCTCCTGATAACAAAACTAACATAAACCTAACTAGCCAATATATATATCAATGAGAAGTATCAAAATGTATAGTTAAGCCCCCCTCCCTCTAACAGCACCTCTGGCATGAAACTGGCTGACAGATCACACAGTCAGTCATTATGCCAAATATTGATTATATAAAATGCCTCCAGATGCATAAAAGCATTAAAGGCATATAATACAGCTCTTGTAACTTGGTGACCCCAAAAAATTATAATAACAGTCAAAAAGAATTAAGTTGTAAAAAGTAATTAGTTAATTATCCTCTATATACCTGGACATATACACGTAAATTTGCCAGGACATTAAAATATAGCACCCTGCTGTATAATGCTTCCACTGGGATTCATATTTATTAATAATGGCAATTAAGTATAAGGCTTAAGTTAGGTTTACACTACAGAGGGTTATATATTCTTTATACTTTACAAATAATGAAACAGCGTTTCAAATCAGGATTGACTGTGACTACTGGTTAATCTCAAAAGAAATTCACCACCATTTAAGGCAGCTATGTAATATAATAAGGTATGAAACCTATTAGGAACCATGTGACTAATGCGAAAGAGAAAGAGAATTTATTATTGAGTTATTTACATATTTACAGACAGCAAACGATTATTATAAGGTAGATCAGATGGTTGTATAGAAACTGTTGGTGGAAATACCTATCAGTCTACAAAAATGATGAGAATGAAAAACCTTTATTCAATCCCTGTGGTGACAGTGTTTTCAATTTATATATCCAGTAGGATTCTCTTTGTTTGAGCCTACGATCCCAACATGTCAAAAGGTAGATGACTCCCTCTGTACGGCAATTGAAGAAAGACTGTACAGAATGAGAGTCAAGATTCAAACTGTCGAAAAAAATCTTTGTTTCTTTACCTATGTACTGACAGGCACTACAGTGACCGCATCTATAAGTGCCTTTAGCTAAATAGGATTTAGAAGTTTTATTAAATGGACCAAAGTGGCTAGGTACCAAGAGGTCCTTAAAGTTCTTCCCTCTACGTGCCGTAACGGAAGGAAAAGGAGAGATGACTGATTTGATATGGACATCTGATGTCAGGATCGGCCAATATCTGCCGAGAATCTGCAGCATTGTGTGCCAACCTGCATCATGTGTCCCAATACAGCGAATCTGATGGCTAGAGGGTAAAATTTTGTCCTCAAGAAGATTCATTCTGTCTGAGTTTAATGCCCTTGAGTATGCCTTTTTAAGAACTCTGTTTGGGTACCCTTTTTACTTGAAAGATTTCCGCAAATTAGCGGCCTTTATCTTAAAATCTTCGAGGGTTGAGCAGTTTCTACGTAAACGCAGATATTGCCCAATCGGGATACCCGCTTTGGAGGGATAGGGATGATAACTATCCCAGTTTAGAAGGCTATTTGTAGCTGTTACTTTACGGTACAATGTTGTGGATATTCTACCGTCCTCTTGTAATGACAGAGTGATGTCTAGAAAGTTCAAATGTTTACCCCCAATTTCACTGGTGAAACGTAAATTCAAGACGTTCACATTCAGCAGCCGTACAAATTCGTTGAAATCATTTATTGTACCCAGCCACACGCTGAATACATCGTCGATGTAATGTTTCCAGCAATGTATTTTGGTCAAAAATTGAGACAAGCATTCGTCAGTTTGAAGGTTCTTTTCCCATGTACCCAAGTATAGGTTCGCGTATGAAGGGGCACAAGATGTGCCCATCGCTGTACCCATTATCTGATGGTAAATTGTACCATTAAAGAGAAAGATGTTTTTAGTGAGCACAAGAGTAAGGACTTTACAGGCAAATTCTATGTATTCCAAGGAGAAATTTGATTGTAGCTGTAGAGTTAGTCTTAAGTTCTCAATCCCCAAAGTATGTGGGATAGAGCCATAAAGAGACTCCACATCAAGGCTACATAATAATGCCTCCCTAGGTACAATGGTATTTTCCATAAGTTGTAACATTTGTTTTGTATCCCTTACATACGAGGGAAGTTTTAGTACAAATGGACTCATTATCTTATCAAGATATATACTCCTATTTTGAGTCAAATTGCCTGTGCCAGAGACTATTGGACGCCCAGTAGGACTAGTTAAAGACTTGTGAATTTTTGGAAGGCTATAGAATGTGGATGTCATAAGATAACTTGTGAACATGAATTTAAATTCATCTTTTGTGATGAATTTGTTGTCAAGTGCTTGTGACAGTAAACTTTTCGCTTCAATAATATATTCAGTAGTAGGATCGTTTTGTAGGACTGGATATGTCTTAGTGTCACTTAGAAGACAATTGACCATCGATATATATTGAGAGCGATCCATTATAACTATATTGCCCCCCTTGTCGGAGGGTTTGATAATTATATTCATGTTGGTGCACAGGGATTTGAGAGCTTTTACCTCAGTATTCGTTAGGTTTCCACTAGACTTAAAGTCCAGATCATTAGGGTTTATTTTATCAATATCCCTGCAGACCATTTCCAGAAAAACTTCCACATTCTTATAATCTTTGAAATGAGGTGTAAATGTGCCCTTAGGTTTTAAATCCGTTGAGGGCACATTATTTGGTTTTACATCCTCATTAGATTGTAGTAATTCAACTAGAGTGTCTAGACAGTCCAGATCTTTAACATTCAATCCTAAATCTCGTGCTTTCTGTTCCTTCCTAGCTGTATGGTATTTAAACAAAGCCAATTTACGAGCGAAAAGATGTAAATCTTTGGTCCAAATAAATTTATTAAATGGAGGAATGGGTACAAACGTCAAACCTTTCTGCAAGACTAAGTTCTCTGTCTCTTCTTCATATATATTTATGTAATATTTTTACATAATTAGGTAACTTAATTAATTACAATTAGCAGGACCTGTCTGACAACCCATGCCGAAAGTAAAGGGAATTTAATTTGCTAGCACTATATTTAACCCTATAACTTTCCGAGACACCATAAAACCTGTACATGGGGGCTACTGTTCTACTCGGGAGACTTCGCTGAACACAAATATTAGTGTTTCAAAACAGTAAAATGTATTACAACGATGATATCGCCAGTAAAAGTGACGTTTTTTCATTTTTCACGCACAAACAGCATTACACGGACAATATTATTGCTGTGATACTTTTTACTGTTTTGAAACACAAATATTTGTGTTCAGCGAAGTCTCCCGAGTACAACAGTACCCCTCATGTACAGGTTTTATGGTGTTTTCAAAAGTTACAGCGTCAAATATAAGGCTTGCGTTTCATTTTTTTCACATTAAAATTCGCCAGATTGGTTACGTTGCCTTTGAGACCCTATGGTAGCCCAAGAATGAAAATTACCCCTATGATGGCATACCACTTGCAATAGTAGACAACCCAAGGTATTGCAAACAGGATATGTCCAGTCTTTTTTAGTAGCCACTTAGTCACAAACACTGGCCAAAATTGGCGTTTTTTGCATTTTTCACACACAAACAAATACTAACGCTAACTTTGGCCAGTGTTTGTGACCAAATGGCTACTAAAAAAGACTGGACATACCCCATTTGCAATACCTTGGGTTGTCTACTATTGCAAATGGTATGCCATTATGGGTGTAAATTTCATTCCTGGGCTACTATACAGTCTCAAAGGCAACGTAACCAATCTGGCGAATTTCAATTTCAAATGTAACGTGCTATATTTGACCCTGTAACTTCCCAAAACGCCATAAAACCTGTACATAGGGGGTACTGTCTTACACGTGAGACTTTACTGAATACAAATATGTGTATTTTATTGCAGTAAAAGCAAACAGTATTATGACATTGACCGTTAAAATGTCATGTAGAACTAAAAAAAAATCAAAACAAAATCGTATTTTCTCCCATTTTTTTCATATTAAATTATGTTTCATAGCTAAATATTTGATATTAAATGAAAGCCCTGTTTCCCCTGAATAAAATGATATATAATAAGGGTGGGTGCATTTACTATGAAAGAGGTGAATTACGGTTGGACAGACGTAGCGCAAATGCCAGGTTTTGTTTACATTTTGTTTTGGTCACAACGTGTACATTTGGCTCCGTCCTTAAGGGGTTAATTAGTGGGTATATCTACTAAACAGTGTTTTTTGTTTGCAGTGGAGGGGCACTTTAATTTAAGGGAACTACTGAGCAACTTGTATAACCATTCATGACATTTCATTCACCAAAATGTGTATATATAGTGGAAAACCTAGAGAATATAAGCATACGCTTTATATGCTCATTTATCTCATGCATAATACAATGTTCCACAATGTTTGACCTCCACAGGTGACTTTGTTTTCAGAAATGTGGCAGGGTTTCTATTATTTGTGTAGGATGGAATTAAGACATCTTCGGACTATGGAACACTGCATTCCACGTGCTTAAGGCATGAGTTACCTGTTTTTTTGCTTGTATATGCCTCCTTATTGCTGCACCTACTTTACACTGCAAGTTATTAGAGTTTATTGACCAAAGTCCTGTTCCAAACACAGCTATCATCACATCATCGTAATATAGAAATTAAATAATCAACAGAAATATTTCTGTTCTTTATAATGAAAGTTCCACACAAACACAAGAATCTCAGAGGCATACAAAAATGGGAAATTGTACCTTAACCCCTTAAGGACAAAACTTCTGGAATAAAAGGGAATCATGACATGTCACACATGTTATGTGTCCTTAAGGGGTTTAAGGAACACTTTGATGTATGAAATGCTTGAATTTCTACATGGTGTATACAGTGTAAAATATATTGATTTACTCACTTCTCCTCTGTTCCAGAGCCACTTCGTTGGTGTTACTCTTCACGTAACATCCACATCCAGGCCTTCCTCGGCTCCACCTGGTCTCTTCTTTAATTTGACCTTCTTGGGACGCATCCCCAAGCAGAGCAAATCTCAGTAATGTCAGTTTGTTGACTTCTTTTCCAGTGTGCCAGCATCAGAATGGAGTGATGACACTCCGTTGCTATACTCCCAGGGAGTAAATGTATATGTAATGTATATACAGAAACGTGTCTACGGAATCTAATGAGCATTTATTGTTTGGGGCATGACAGGGGTTTCATGGCTTTAGAAAAAATAATCAGCATCAGAGATTAAACACTCCGTTGATTTTATTTTTTACAGCTTGGTAGAATACCCCATTGAAAATATGCCTTCTTTTATTCCTGCATGCTTTCATTGGGGATACATCTAAAATATCAATAGTTCCTCTTTTTATATGGGGAGATTACTCTGTAGCCATAAGTGACAAGGGAAGAATTGGTAACTGTAGGTAACATAAAAAGAACATATTCCACAATCATATACTTCATTTGCATTCAAACTGACAATCCACCTATACCTCCCTTCATTCACATACACACTGACCCAAAATGCAAATATTCCTGCATTCACACACTCACCTGAGCCATAATTTTACCCTTGTATTAAGATACATAGACACTACATGGCTTGGGCACTATCAAAAGGAAATGCGGTTCACGTGTGTTTCATGTTGTGAGTACTTTTTTTTGCTAATAGCTGGAGGCCTGAAATTGTGAATCCCGGTGAAACAGTTGTAGAATGATTGATTGATTAATTGAGCTAATTTTAAAGCTACATAATGGGTTGCTAAATTAATGCAATGTAAATTATTTGTATCACTGCAACAAAATGTTAAGAACCACTGACATAAATAATAGTAATCGTGTGCTTGCCTTTTATTAGGCATTGCACACTTTATAATCTCACCTATCTCATGCTGATTTGGTGCTGCTCACCAGTAGAATGAGGACATCTGGAGGTGCACACCAGGATTTGAACTGATGACATCAGGTTGTATGCAAATGTCACCAGTGCACTCACTAACTAAATGAGTATTGCTTTCACTTTTGCCACACACCCCTCCTTCCCAGCATTGGATGTTATTAATATAGATCTCAGTTTCTTTATTCCAGATCTCTCATTACCAGGTGGTTTAGTAAAAAAAATGTATTAACCAACAACTGAATGGCTAAATTTGGTTATGCTTCTTGCATGAGTGAGTTGCATTATACGGTATGAGGTCTTTCCTGGTTAACTTTGATATTCGGTACAAAGTACCATCATAGAGAAGCATTTGATTGGTCCAATTTCCAGGCTCAAAGCATATGCGTGTACTCTGAGCGAGGGAGGACAAGGAGAGTGGACAGAGGAAGGACAATGGGGTGGACAAAGGGACGAGACTAGGGGGAAAAAAATTGAATAAAGCTGAATGTAGGGAGGCCCGGGAGGACTGATAGCAGGCACAGCCAAAAGAGGGAGGCAGGGGAGGCTCATTAACTCTGTCACCAGTAATCCGTGCTCTCTGATGACAGGTGTAATGTCTTCACAGAATAGACATTAGGCAGTCCAAAACAGAGCTCCAGTTACAGGGGTGTAACTAGCTGTCGGCACAAAAGTGTATGTTTCTTTGTATGTGCAGTGTTTCAAGCAGAAACCCTGTGTATACAGATTCCTACCTCCATGACCACTTCTCAAAGTAGAAGTGGTTATGGATATTGGAGTAACCCTTTAGTGCCTGTTTAGATTGGTTAAAATTTACAAAGGATGCAGGCCATAAGCAACTAGGTAAAGTGGGATGGTAGCCCCTGCTCAATGTTTAAGTTTATTTTTATTGCATTACATTAATAATACAATAACCTTATCTTACAACTGTTTTACTTTTTTCATTTGGCCAGGTCAAGAAAGAAGTTGGAGATATCACTATCCTAATTAATAATGCTGGGATTGTAACTGGAAAGAAATTTATTGACTCACCGGATTCTCTGTTGGAGAAAACTATGCAAGTGAACGTCATGGCACACTTCTGGGTAACTCTTGACATTCCTTGATGCTCATGATACTTATGTATTGCAAGAATTAATAGTACACTCTGCCAGGGAGTTCTCACAAAGAATAACCCCATTTTTATTTATTTCTAAGAATTGTTAGGATTCTTATAGTAAATTATAGTCACACTAACCCCCACAAATTTTTTTGTTTTTATGGAAAGAAAGAATGGAAACATAATTACATGGAGACATTAAGGGAATACTTTAGTGTCAGGAATAAAAACATGTATTTCTGACACTGTAGCCCTGAAGGGGCTCTTTAGGTTATCGGCCTCCCTCCGATCTTAGTAAAAATATAGACTAGCATGTTTTATTACATTTCCTTATAACTTCTAATCTTCATGTCTAGAAAAAATATCAGCCCATAAGTTTAGTATCTTAAACTTTATCTTAAATTGTTTGTGCAGAACCCTCCAAATGCCTTACAATATTATGTCATGTAACCTGAGCACTCGCACTTGCTGTTGGGGTACTGCTAGGGATGCACCGAAAATAAAAATTCTGGTCTGAAACCGAAAATTCAGGATGCCCTTGACCGAAAAATGACTTTTTTCCCCAAAATGATTTGTGTAGCTTATGTAGTGTGTGTATGGAATATAGTGAGGTGTGGGAAAGGGATGTAGTGTGTATGTGTGTAGGTCATATAGTGTGTGTAGGGAACATGGTGTGGTGCAGTATTGAGATGTAGTGTGTGTAGAACACGGTGTGGTATGGGATAGGGATGTAGTTTGTATGTTTGTAGAGTGTGTAAGGCACATAGTGTGGGGTGGGCTAGGGATGTAGTGTGTGTAGGACACATAGTGTGGGGTGGGATAGGGATTGCAGAGTGAGGGAGTGGCAGAGCGTGGGAGGAAGGGGATGACAGAGCATAGTAGGGAGTGACAGGTGACAGAGCATGGTAGGGAGTGACAGGTGACAGAGTGTGGGAGGGAGTGACGGGTGGCAGAGTGTGGGAAGGGGGGGTGACAGGTGGCAGAGTGAGGGGTGACATAGGGAGGGGGTGCCTAGTGGCAGAGTGTGGGAGGGAGGGGGCGACTGGTGACAGAGGGAGGGGGTGACTGGTGGCAGAGGGAGGGAGGGGGTGACAGAGTGAATAGGTGACCGGTGACAGAGTGAAGGAGTGACTGGAGACAGAGTGAGGAAGGAGGTTACTGGTGGCAGAGTGAGGGAGGGAGAGGGTGACTGGTGACATAGTGACTGAGGTATGAGGTGACTGGTGGCAGAGTGACTGAGGGAGGTGGTGACTGTCACATTTCACTCTATCATCCCCTCCCTCTGTCACCAGTCACCCTCTCCCTCCCTTACTCTGCCACCAGTCTGAGGGAGGGGGGTGACAGAGTGACATAGTGACTGGTGACAATGACTGAGGGAGGGGGTGACTGGTGACAGAGGGTGTTAGAAATACTTTTTTTTCATACCCTAGTGGTCCAGTGTCCTAGCCCCCTGGTGGTCCAGTGGGCTATCTTCCCATGCTGCAGCTCCGCTGGGTGTGAGGTGCAGATTGTGCTGTATCTCGAGATATCCAGAATTTAGAGCGTTGCCGTGGTGACCCACGGCAACGCTCTGATTGGCCAGAGATCACGAGATACAGCACATTCTGCAGCTCACACCCGGTGGAGCTACATACAGTACTGCCTCTCTCCCTGTGCAGATAAGATAGTCCACCCACCCGGCGGCACACGGAGCAAGCCACCAGCCCCCTCCCGATGTCAGCACTCTGCTACTAGCCCACAGCAGGGCTGAAAAGATAAAATAACTACAGTTCTGGGCGTAGGGCGATAGGAATTGCGCATCCCTGGTAATTTTCGAAATTTCGGTGCTTCCCCAGGTACTGCAAGCATGTTTTTGTATCTTTGTGCACAGCAACAAAAAAATTAAAAAAGGATAATTTATTTTTTTTAAAAGGTGATTTTACTCACCTTTTCTCCCACATCTCACGGGTCTCTCTGCGGCTGGCTACGCCTCCATGGCTGAAATAATCAATCTTATTAGCATTGGGAGGCTGGGAGATATTGCAGGAATATTAATGAAACAATTTGAATTGTTTGTATAAGAAAAGTGATTGCTATTGGTATTTACCTTATTTTACAGACCTGTAAAGCCTTCCTTCCAGCAATGATGGCCTCCAACCATGGTCATTTGGTTAGCATTGCAAGTTCTGCTGGACTGATTGGAGTCAATGGACTAGCAGGTAAACAAAGCGATATTATGAATCTTCCCCCTGAGTTTGTATGCTTCCTTCCATTCATTTCAAATGTGATTTAAATGCTATCTGTCACCCAGTCAGGGATTTATAATATGTACATAAAAAAACTAAAGATGTTTGTACATATAATTATGCAGGTATTGAATTCAAGAGATTGTGATTATTTAAGTGACAATTCTTTAATTCAGGGTTTACTGGTGTACTATTGTAGGTTTTTTGTTGTTGGTTATTTTAGGAAAGCTGTAGAAAGATATTTCTAATTTGAAACCCTTTTTTGTTTGCATTTATTGCACAATATATTCAGACTATAAACCAGTTTGAGCAGAGGTGTCATCTACTCTTGTGCAGTTATATTAAATGATTTGGTACAATGCTGCCGAGTATGTTTTAATGGTAAGAACAGTAATCACTTGTTGGGTTGTATCCTGCAACATGCTAGGTTTCTGGCTTTAATTGAATTAGACCAATGGTATTAGAAAGCAGACGGCCTGACCCTCACAGAAAGTAAACCTAAGTGATAGATACATATATCTTTATGTAGCTGTGGAAGATGACCTTTGAAATGGTTAAAGGATATTAGATTATCAGAAGCATTTAATCTCATGACTAAAGTGCAATGTGCATATATCCACAGACAACCTGAGTATGTTAAAACACGTGTCAGACTAAAAAAACAATTCTATTCATCCCTAGATTTATACACAAAAATATGCAAAGCAAATGTGTAATAAATGGCGCTAATTACAACAAAAAACTGCAGCTGAAATACACTGTGGGATTAATCATGTCAAACCCACCAATAAACAAAAACAAACACAAACAATACAAAATAGCGTACAGCGCATATAATAGTATGGAATGTACTATAGGTCCGTACCCTTTACCATATCAAAATATAGTGCCTATAAGTGGCCCAAAGGTGTGTGTATATAAAAATGGATATACCCAATATTCTGTAATAGGGATCACTGCAAGGGTAAACACAAACACTATCATAGGGCAATACTGTATAGTCTTTATAATATATGGTAATAAAATCAGAAGAAATCCTAAAGCCCATCCAACTACCTCCCTATCTCGCTACTGTCATTTGCCTCCAAGATCCTCGAGAGAGTTGTGTACACCAGATTGACTGACTTTCTCGGTTTCCAACTCTCTGCTTGACCCCCTTCAGTCTGGATTCCGTGCTGGTCATTCGGTCAAAACGGCTGTGACCAAAGTATCAAACAATTTAATTGCTGCTTAATCTCGCTGCCATTACTCTATCTTAATTCTTCTTGATCTTTCTGCTGCCTTTGACACTGTTGATCATCACCTCTCCCTCTCCCAGTGCTCTTTCAGTGTTTCTGACTCTGCCTCTTCCCCCCTATCACTCTCTGTCGGCGTCCACCAAGGTTCTGTCCTTGGTCCCCTACTGTTCTCTATCTATACCGCCTCCCTTGGTAAACTCATCAGCAACTTTGCTTCCGTTATCATTTCTATGCAGATGACACGCAAATCTACCTGTCCACTCCTGATCTCTCTCCGTCCATCTTGACTCGTGTCTCTGACTGCCTCTCTGCGATTTCCAACTGGATGGCTGCTCACTTCCTTAAACTCCAACCTGTCCAAAACAGAACTTCTAGTTTTTCCTCCCTCAAGTGTTAACACTCCAGTGTCTGTCTCCCTCCAAGTCAACGGCGCTACCATCACCTCTAACTTGCAGGCTCGCTGCCTGGGTGTTCTTTTTGACTCCAATCTCTCCTTCACCCATCATGTCCAATCAATCGCCAAATCCTGTTGCTTCCATCTCAAAAACATAGCGCTCATCCACCCCTATTTAACGCCAGATGCGGCTACTCTGCTAGTCTATGCTGTTGTTCTCTCTCGTCTTGACTACTTCAATCCCCTTCTCAGTGGTCTTATGTGTTCCCAGATTGCACCGCTGCAATCTATAATGAATGCGGCGTCGAGGCTCATTTTCCTGTCCGCTCGCACCTCCCACACCTCCCCTCTGTCAGTCCCTGCATTGGCTTCCAGTTAGATATAGGGCTCAATTTAAAATTCTGGTGCTTGCTTACAAGTCCCTACATAATGCTGCTCTAACCTACCTATCCTCCCTAATACACAATTATGTCCCGTTGAGGCCCCTACGCTCTGCCAAAGACTTGCGTATATCTTCTGTCTGTACTCCCACCTCTAATGCTCGCCTCCAAGATTTCTCCAGGGCTGCACCTCTTCTGTGGAACTCCCTTCCCTTCTCCGTAAGAATTTCACCCAGTCTCCACTCATTCAAAAAATCATTGAAAACTCACTTCAATAAAGCATATCAATTAAACTGTTAGCAGGTTTTTATCCCCCCAAAAAATTACCTACTAAGCCCTCAGTGAATACTTTTCTAACAACCTGCTTCATACCCCTACTTTTACCCTTTGTGTCACTATACCCCACTCCCTCTAGAATCTAAGCTCATTGAGCAGGACCCTCCACCTCTCTGTTCCAGTACGTCCAGTTGGTTACAATTACATGTCTGTTAGTCCACCTATTGTACAGCGCTACGGAATTTATATATAAATAATAAAATTAAAATAATAATAATATAGTTATCACACTCACATTTCTCTGCGCCTGTCTTAATAACTGGCTTTGATAATTCAGCTTTGGTGTCATTTTATAGCTTCAGATGAAGTTTTAAAGATGACTTGCTCCTCAGTGGTGAAAAACAGGAAAGGCAAAACCAGTTAAGATAAAAGTAGATATTTATTTCAAAATGTAATATTAAGGTAACTGGTGTGCCAAATTCCAGATTTCACAATATACAGCAAGCACAACGCGTTTCAACACTTTTCATTTGTCTTTCTCAGATGCTATCTGTAGATTTATGTTGGATATGTAAAAAATACATTGCTGAAAATTGACTATTTTTAGTGCTAATATTTGGCACGTTTTTTTTTTCAGTTAATATTGGCATTGATATTCCATGTACCAGGTGCTTAAAGGGACACTATCGTCACCAGAACAACTACAGCTTATTGAATTTGTTCTGGTGAGTAGAATCATTACCTTCAGGCTTTTTGCTGTAAACACGGTCTTTTCAGAGAAAATGCAGTGTTTACTTTACAGCCTAGGGATAACTACACTGGCCACTCCTCAGATAGCTGTTAGAGATACTTCATGGGTCATGGCTGCTTAAAATGCATCCACACATTCAGTATCTCCTCCCTCTGCATGCAGACACTGAACTTTCTTCATAGAGATTCATTTATTCAGTTCATCTCTGAGGAGATGCTGATTGGCCAGGGCTGTGTGTGAATCATGCTGGCTCTGCCCCTGATCTGCCTCTTTGTCAGTCTCAGCCAATCTTATGGGGAAGCATTGTGATTGGATCAGGCCACCACTTCTAATGATGTCAGCAGACTGCTTGTTTTTCTGAGGCAAACATGCAGAGTTACAGCTTCAAGCTTGAATACAGTAAGATGTTGCTATATTTATGGAGGCATGAGTGGCACAGGGGGGCTAGATGGTGGTTTTAACACTATAGGGTCAGGAATACATGTTTGTGTTCCTGACCCTTTAGTGATACTTTAATAATGTTCTCCTATTCTGCTGCTACTACTATAATAAACTGCATTGAATTGACATTTTTTTAGAGTTCATAAACTCCTCTTTGACATTGGACTTACTACTGCCTTTATTTACCCGCTGTCACTGGCTGTTTACTGATTTTAAATATTCTGCTTTCTTTATTGTTTTCTGTTTAAAATATAAATGGCATGATTGGAAAAGATTCTACACCACCAAAGTTGATGGGAAGAGATTGCACATTTCATGGTTTGTTTTTTTTGTTTTTGTTGCAAACTAACATTACTATTTACACAAAGCTTTTGTTATCTTGTTTAAAACCATCTTTGGATAATTCTCTTTCATTTCTGACCTTTACAAATGCCTATCAACGTTTCAAGAGTTTCTCATACTTTTTTGTTCCGAATGTCACCAAACATTTGCCCAATTTTCTAGTCTTCATATTCTTCTTCAAAACATATCTCTTCACCTGTTGATTACATGGTGAGTCAATACTCAGTGGCATTCATTAATTAGCTGAACCAAAATCCTAACAGCCCTGATTTGCACACATATGTACTGGTTAGTTTGTGAACGCTCATCTTAAATACAGTGTGCATTATTCATCTAGATGAAGTGGCTATGGTGGCAGCAGTCCCTGTGAGTGCTGTTTTACCTTCAGATGTTAAACAGGTTTTGAACAATTTAACTACGAAGATGGTAAGGTCAAAAAGTTGATCCACATGACCTGACAGCTCTTACTCTCTCCTTCCTCTGACTGCTATACACTTTAGAATGGTTTGCCTGGCTGGAGATAGGTAGAAACAATTGAGTTTCAGCCTATCACTAGCTACCAAGGCAAACCTTTCTGGAGTGTACCATAGTCAGAGGAAAGATAGGGAGATCGAAAGGACCCAGGTAGTCAAATTTAGAGTTAGACTGTTTGAAAACAGTTTAATCCCTGGCCCAGTGACTTAAGCCCCCTTAACAACTACATAAGATTAAGGTATTATAAGGACTGGAGTCAGATGTTCGTTCATGTAATAATATCCAGACTGTATTGCAGAATAATTGTACACTGTCTTCTCTGGTGTTCCACCATGATCTGTGACTATTCTACTATTCTTGGACCACTGGAGAGGTTTGGGAATTATCCGTATCCATGTTGCTGTAGAAGAGATGCAGACCAGTCTTTCATTCAAAAGGGCACGTTATAATTGCAATCTATGGACATTGGACAATCTCCCACATTGCTAATAGGTTTAAATGTTAACAGTTGTGTGCTTCTGTCTTAGGCTGATGGTGTATGGTAGATTTTTGACACTTAGTGTTGTGGTGAGAAGAACCAGCTTGCCATGTACAGCCTAAGTGACATAGGCCGAAAGAGAGAGAGACAGGAGGACAGGCATCCACGCGGGTGGACAGACTGAAGGATAAATATGGTCTGTGGACATATACACTTCTAAATTTGAAAAGAGCATTATTTAAAATGATCAGCTGTCCTGAGATTTCAACTACCTAGATACCTAATAACAATCTACACAAAACATATTTATGCTAAATTGTTACCACTCATTTACCCAGCCTCCAGTCCCACTCTTACCTTTTTCATGTTTATTTTGATACCTCTTATTTTATCTACACATTTTCACTGCTTTATAAAGGACTTAAAATTATAAAAAATTAGGAATTGGAAATAAATTGCTAAAATGTCTTGCTCTTACAGATTACTGTGCCAGTAAGTTTGCTGCAATCGGGTTTGCCGAGTCTATTGGTCTTGAAATGTTCGCTCTGGAGAAGACTGGAATAAAGACCACTATTGTTTGCCCCTATTTCATAAACACTGGAATGTTTGATGGATGCTCAACCAAGTAAGGCCATCTGACAAATCTTTTAATGCTGTTGTTTCTTTGTAGTAATACTGTAGTTCTGTTATATTTAACAGAATAATCCAGCATTATAAATATTATCACATTTTACGTATTTAGTCTTCTAGGTCCTCTTTCTCTGGCATTACCTGTAAATAAAAGGAGGAACTCATCTGCATCTCTTCTTCAAAAAGTGCAGAGACGGGCTACAAAATTGATAAAAGGAATGGAGCATTTAATTATGAAGAAAGGTTAAAAGATTTAAATCTCTTTAGTTTGGAAAAAACAGCGCCTCAGAGGGGATATGATAACATAATACAAATATATTCTGGGCCAGTACAAACCATTATCTGGAAATCTATTCATAAACAGGGCTATACATAGGACACAAGGTCACGCATTTAGGCTGGAAGAAAGGAGATTTCATCTAAGGCAAAACAAAGTTTGTGTTTTTTTTTACAGTAAGAGCAATAAGGATATGGCATTCTATGCCTGAAGAGGTGGTTTTATCAGAGTCCATACAGATGTTTAAACAGCAATTGGATAAATCAAACCAACAAATATCAAGATAAAATCTTAATAAATGAGTGGAGCGCTTGATAATATTTACATGCAATAATTACCTGTAAATAAAAAGGAGGAACTCCCACCTTTTTCTCACGGAGTTTAAAAAGCAGTAAAATCAAATGATAAGCGTGTCTCCTAAGAGACTGATAAGTGCTTATCATTTGATTTTACTGCTTTAAAAAAAAAAAAAAAAAAAAGTTTATATGTTAAATAAATACCAGTTTTTTAGCACTTACCTGCCTTCTAGTCCCAGATTCCAGATAGGGGAGGGTCACCCTTAAATATTGACACCAAGTGTTCCCACCTTAGAGCCAAGACATCAATAGGCTCTTAAGAAGGTGAGAGTCCATTTATTATATACCTTTGACATCAATGGTGTTTAAATATACTACTCTATAAGCTTTGTCTGCTTTATCCTGAGAGAGAATTCTGTGAGAAAAGGGTGAGGTGCCACCTATATGAGCACCATTGCGCTTCAGTAGAGCCTTAATCCGCAGGCTCTGAAGATTGTGAGTTCTCTCATATTTACTTTTGTACTCCATCTATATATCAGTATCATCTGCACTAGTATTTTATTCGGTGTTCTTATTCCCCTATTAAAGTATTCAAGTACATCCGAATCTCTATACTTAATTTAATAAGGGGTAAGCAATTATCAAGCGCTCCACTCAATTATTAAGATTTCAGCTTGATATTTGTTGGTTTGATTTTGTGTTCAGGGGAGGGGGAAAGGTAGTCCCTCAAGGGTGTTAAGAGCTGCTATTATTTTCTAGACACTCTGTAAGCGCTTTCTCACACACTTACTCCTCGTGAGTTTTCTTCTCTCCAGGAATTGGATAAATACTTGCAAAAACATAACATACAGGGATATAATTTCTAATTAGTGGGGTAATAGCTGCTTTGAGAGGGTTATTGTTGGGCAAGCCACTGAAATGGTGATTTAAACACTATAGGGTCAGGAATACATGTTTATGTTCCTGAACCTGTCGTTTTCCGTTAAGCCACAACATCCAGTCTGTTTTGAAAATTATAACATTTCACTTGATTTTCACATACATTTAGTGCTAATGGCTATAGTGTTGTTTAATGAGAATGGAAACAAAAAAATAATATATTAGCTGTGAGATTTGGTTTTATCCTGTTTATGTAAGTAAAAATGTATAAAATACATGACAATGTATTTATCATTCAGTTTAGAATTTAAAAAAAGATAGAGCTGATAACTTTTTTTGCAAAAGTAGTTTGTATGTGTGCTTATTTTGAGTCTAAATACTAATAAAGATCTTGACCACTTCCTTAAAGGGTCACTATAAGCACTAAAACCACTCCAGTGGCATAGATTTGGTGTATGCCGCTGCCGTGTCACTGCTCAATTTTGTGCCATTTATGACTTAAATCACTTTGTTTATGCAGCCCTAACCACATCTTCCCATGGCGGAGACTCACACAGCCTTCCAGTGTGTTTAATCTAGAATTCCTTATCTCTTGCTTTGCTTATAGTTTGCTATAGCCTGCCACCTGTGTTAAATTAACTGAGCAGGCGATAAGCACTTCTACACTAAACACACTGAGCTGATTGAAAGTGAAAGCATTTTGTCTGTGTGAGTCACAGCCAGGGGAGGTGTGGCTAAGTCGGTATTAATTATTTAACTCCTAAATGTCTGAGTATTGAGCTGTAATACTGCAGATGCATAATCTATAAGCACCAGAACAACTTTAGCTTAATGAAGCAATTTTGGTGTAAAAAACTTTGAAAACTTAGCAAATGTACTGTACTATAATTATGTTTTTCCTGTGTGTAATCGACAATGCTTTTTACAGGTGGCCAAATTTTATGCCAATTTTAGAGCCTGAGTATGCCAGTAAAAAAATTGTGGATGCCATCCTGAAGGAGCAGGTGTATCTGGTTATGCCACGCAGCCTTTACATTATATTTGGTTTTAAAAAGTAAGTGATAATCATCTTTTGCTTCAATACATTGGTCAATATAGGAAACAAAATGTTAGTGGTCACTTTCACTGTAATGTTTTTATACTCCCATAATCATCACTGCATCATTTGTAAGCCCTGTAGGAGATAGATGGTCTAAAATAGAGGAAGCATTGTACCCAGCAGGCCGGGACTGGCAATCAGGCAAACCGGGCAAATGGCCATGGACTGAGGCCGGCAGGGGAGATCATAGGAGGGAGGGAAGATCTCCCTCACCGGCCCATCGGCAGTGATATGCAGCAGGCATCAAGAGAGAGAGGAGACCCGTAGGAGCTGTAAGCAGTTCCGCCGGGTTATACCTCTCACGAGGTCGGAGCGTTGCCTACACACTGTCACCCTCCTACGACACACTGTTACCACCCCCACATACACAGTGACTCTCCTACCACACACTGTCACCACACACACACACATTGTCACCCCTCACACACACATTGTCACCCCCCTCCCACAGAATGCCATCCCCTCACACACACGGTCACCCACACACACACACCTTTGAGGAGATGCTGATTGGTCGTGGTTGCGACATCCTTGACCATCTCAGCCAATCCAATGCTTTCCTATTTGGAGGCATTGTGATTCGCTGAGATCATCACTACTGATGAAGTCAGCCAAGGAGAAAGATCAGGGGCAGAGCCAGCACCTGCTGGCTTGAATAAAGGTAAAACTTTACTATATTTAAAAGGCAAGGGGTTGAGGGGAAGAGAGGGGAGGAGAGGTCAGGAGGTAGATTGTATTCCTGACCCTATAGTGTTAAAAACACAGGTTTTTTTAGGTCTTTTTTTATTGTATTTTTTCTTTCTTTCTATATACTGATTTTACGCTGTGATTTGTTTTCTTTACTTATTACAGAATGGTGTAATCTCTCTCCTGTTTTGTTTTTTCTCTTTATTTTAGCATTATATCTACAAAACTTGGTTTTGTTCTTGGTGATTACTTTGGAGCATTTCACTTCATGGATCATTTCAAAGGCAGAGTTAAAAAGGATTAATATCAACTTAAAACTACATTTAAAATGACAAGTGAATGTTTCTATCTACTAATGAACTGTATATAGCATTGCTTAAGTGCATTCCAGTAAACTTATATTCCCTGTCTCAATGCTTGAAAAACTAGACCAGGGGTAGGCAACCTATGGCATGTGCCATGCGCGGCACTCGAGGTGACTTTCCACGGCACTCGACTACAAGAGCCAAACAGGCTCTGGCCTATCGGGAGTCCCAGTAAAACTTTAGGTATCTGCTAATACGGAAAGGTGGTGAAGTACAATCAATTCATGCACTGCAGCACGTAGAGGAAGTGATCTCAAAAACCTTCATTCCAGCACTTGTGAATGGGAATCCACATTGGAGTAGAGCAGCCCACAGCTGCTGTTGCAGCTCCTGTCCTTGACTTGCACCTGGCCCCCCTGGAACCCAGGGAAGCCACCCACACTGCTAGATATACACAGAAATGCAGAATAACCCTCCTCTCATACAAATAATACAAACAGCTCCCAGGCACACACACACACACACAATCTGCACAAACATAACACCACTAACAATCCACATACGTGCACACAACCCCACATGCAGCCTCTCACACACAAAATCACAAGCAGTACCACACATAATGTGACATATCCATCCACACACACAATTCCACATGCAGCCCCCAACCACAGCCCACATTCACAGGTATCATACATGATACCACAAAATGAATATATACAATATAATAGCTCATTTACACACAAATACAATGATACAAAGCAACTGTAGTATAAATAACACAAGCAGAATACGGCAACATACCCACTCCAATTTAAAAATATAGGAATGGCACACTATGGGACATCACAATTCTATTTCGGCACAGTGCTGCTAAAAGGTTGCCTACCCCTGAACTAGACCAATGTTCTAAATACAAGTCATACAAAAATATGTTTTATACTACCAGCAGTTGTCAAACAAGTTTTGAACTTTTTCCTCTCAATCTTTACCTGGATCTGTTTGTGATTTTCCATTTACTAAAATAATTTTTTTTATAATATATGTGATTTTTTTACTGATTGATGTAAAGAAAAAAAAAAGTTTGTAAAAATCCAATGAATCAGTTGAAAACAGATTATTAGCAATAATGTGCAATACTTCTACTGTATTGTTCCATGTTATCATTTAGAATGCATTTCTAATATGTAGCTACTTATAAAGCTTAAAATAGATTCAGTGAAAGAAAGGGCAGGATGATGTTAAAGAGTGAATATTAGTTTTTATATTTAAATAGAGCTTCATTTCCATCACTTTGAGAACTTGAAGTGGAATTGTGGTATAAAAACCATATACAAACAAAACACATTCAAAAATATTGAATGTGTTTTGTTTGTATATGGTTTTTATACTCTTATGCATAAACCAAACATTCTGAATTGCAATAAGTCATATTGCAGTTTATTTTAGGCACTAAGAATGCTCTATCTTCAGGGCTTAATTACTACTTGCTTCAGGCTAATACAGGACAGGCTGTAGATGACGTAGCATGCGTCGCTGCATCCTCATGGACCGCGGCTGAGGGAGCGATCGAGAGAGCCGACTAAAGCGAAGGAGACGACCAATCTTATCTAGAGTGTCATTTGGGGTGCCACATAGAAACTGAGAAGTTGGGGATGTAGGGAGCTACCTTCGACGGATAGATCTACAGCCAGGCAGATACCCCAACGGATAAACACAAGGGAACCTAACAGAATAAAACAGCAACAGAAAACACAAGCTAAGTGCCAGTTGCTACTAAGCTGTCTGTTTACTTACACTATATGTTTACTATGCAGGGGCTTGCATAAATATTGGGTCTCCTGAAAATTAATGGACCCCTAAGAAGAGACAAAATAGGGTTGATATGGAAAACTGGATACAGGGGGCAATACATGATTTAAAGATTATTTAAATCAAGTTAATTTCTGCCGATAATGTGGAACAGACTACTAAAAAGGTCTGTAGTGTGCTAGGGGGAATTGCCCAGAGGCTTCAGTCACTTCTAGTGCTTTTCCTTTTAGTTATTTGTCTGGATTTATTTATTTTTGCTGTCACACCACTTGCACTTCTCCCCTACTCCTGTTAATTAGCACAATTTTATGCGCAACAAAATAGAAAGGGAAGAGGAAAGGGAGGAAGCAATAAGGATAGTACTAGCCTAAACAGCATATAAACTCCAGAAAAAAGAGTAACCCTAAAATACAAATTAAAATAAAAATAGCTACAAAAAGACACAAAATGGCAAGCACCTAAAAGAAAAAAAAAAAAAAGCCTGAAAATAAAACAGAAAAACGTCCTTTCCTTCTTTTCACCAAACCTATCAAGCAATAAAACAAACCTGGAGGAATCTCGTCTCTCTAATATCCCATCAGAGGACGGCACCAATAAAGGACAAGCGGAAGAAATACAAGGTTCATGAGAAGGAAGATATTAATATGACAACTTACTCAGACACTTATACACAATTTGTAAATTTGAGAAAAGAAATCCAAGCTAATACTCTAGACCAGGGATAGGCAACATTCGGCACTCCAGATGTTGTGGACTACATCCCCCATAATTCTCTAACACACATAATGCTGGCAAAGCATCATGGGAGGTGTAGTCAAAAACATCTGCGGTGCCGAAGGTTGCCTATGCCTGCTCTAGGCATAAAGAAAGAACTGTTGACTCTTAACCTGTGGGGATATTTATGGGATAATAATAGTAACAGTGAGAATTGCCCACTAATTCAATTCTCAGATCCCAAAGGTCGTTATCGTGTTAAGTGAAAAGTATTTCATATAAATAAAATCACAATTTTGTTATAAAAATAGATTTTATTTTATAATAACAATTAATTAACAAATATTATGTAACATGCGTGACAATAATCAATGAATATCCAGTATGAAATGATATGCAATACAATGGAATGGGTATACACGTTTCAATGGCTAAACAGCATTTTCTGTCAAGACTTACACGATTTATGAGGGTATCCTTACAGACTGAAAGTGAAGCTTTTCACAGCGAAGGGCCATAAAACCATGGCTAACAGTTAGATCAACTGAATAACCCTTTCAATGCTGGCTAGATCTCCTAGGTAATTAAGATCTATTCTTATGTAATTTTAAATAAAATAACATTTAAACCAGTTCATTAGTCATTTCCTGGAACCATCCAATAAGAGAATCTACCATGTTATATAAGCAGATTTTAATTTGTCTAAAAGATATCTTATCTTATATTAGAGCAAATCAATACACCTGGATAAAAACAGCGGTATGCTAACACGTGATAATATCACATTAATATATAATTATTCTTAATTCCACCTGCAGAATGGAATGTTTATAACTATATATTCTTTAGTTAACAATGATTTCTTAATATGGAAATCTGACCGTGATTTATCCAGTCATATATCATGCTATTAGTAAATTTTAATTAATTAAATTAATTAAATGAAACCAGTAGAATTACCAGTTGAGTAGATATTTCATCCGATTGGTAGATAGTCTCAGGAACTTATTTGGGTGTCTGTAGGTGCATGAGTTATAGTGAAAGGTGGTGTTGGTTAGAAAGTCAGTAAAATTCTAAGTGTTAGAGTTTTAAGAGTAGAGTGTTAGTCTCAGATGTTGTCCTGGGTTTCTCTGCATGTCCGAGTTGGAGTCCCCAAACTTCCAATTCCTCCTCTGTCTCTTTTTCCTTTTCTCTCTACCTTTGTCTTAACCTTTAAAGCGAAAATTCACTAGTTGCTAGGCCAATAGGAACACTCGGGGTGTGGTTATCTTCCAGATAGCCATTTAGTATTTGTTCTATAGAGGGCAGTCTTGTCCCACTAAACATACCTATCCAGGAAAGAGTTAACTTTTCCTGGTGGCTATTTTGACGTCATTTTGGCTTATCTTTATAGTGGCCATAACTTATGTTTCCTTTCACTTCAAAGGGTTTTCTCTTAGTTTTGTCCAGACTTAGTGTCAGCAATTCCTGCTATAATTTCTAACATGGCAGTTCATGAACTATGTTTCACCTTAAACTTACAATGGGGTCTTGTACATATAGAAAGTAAAATTTTATTATTTAATCTCCTCTGTCACAAATGTCTGGGTTTAGAATGCATCTATTCCATTAGCATTTAGACAGTCTGTCCAACCCCCGTTCTCCTTATCACTTGGTTTGTATATACTATGCATTCCTTTAGCTCTGGGAAAGTGGTTAGTTTTACAGATAGAAATCTTGTGTCTTTTGGTAACTTGGAAATAACAAAATGGAGTCTGCTCTGTTCAAAAGTGACTCAGCATATACACTTTTAATTTCTATCTTAGCACAAGATGTCTGCCGATATAAATACTCTGACAAACCAGCGTTTTCAAGGGATAGAAGAAAAACTAAACAGGTTGGAACAAAAGGAAAAAGTCCACAAAGAAGAACATCAGGCACTGGAAAAAAAGATGGCTGACATGGACAACAAACTGATAGATCTACAGGACCGGTCAAGATGGAATAATTAAGAATTAGAGGAGTATCAGAACAAATAAATCTAAAAAATCTGGAACCATACAATTCTTTAAAGGGACACCGTAGGCACTGTATCTGCTTCATCTCATTAGGCTGGTTATAGTGTATGGAGTCCCCTGGTGCCATCATTTCTTTCAGCATTAAACAGTTTTTAATGTTGTAATGTTTTAATGCTAAACAAGAGACCCCGGCAGTCCATCCCCTCTCTGCTGCTTTGGCTAATAAGGAAGTATTAGCCTGAGCAGCAATGGGCAGCTGTGATTGGCTGAGTGTGTCAGCTGACTGCTTTTAACCTGTCAGAGTTCCAACTGACGGTATGACAACAAGGAAGTGTGTAATCTCTGCCTTAGATACACATACAGAAGGGGCCGGACTGTGGGTGGCCAGGGACTCTTATTTTGTGGCATACTGCACAAACATGGTGCAACTCTGAATGGAGAGACAGTGCCAGACCACTCCAGGCACTATAACCAATTCAAAGAGATGAAATGCTTATAGTGACTACAGTTTCCCTTTAAGCATCTGAAGGTGGAATGGGACCCCAGAATTCCCATAATGGAAAGATGCCATAGAATGAAAAAAACCCAGAACATCTTCCAAGAGATGTATTGATATGCTGCACTTCCTCCAAAATTAAGTCGCAAATTCTGAGAGCCATAAGAAGTAATAAATGCATAGAAAAATACGAAACACTGAAAATATTCCAGGATCTGTCATGGCCAACCAGATAAAAAAGCAAAACCTTCTCTGACGGCACACTAATTCTAAGACAGAACAATATTAATTATTGATGGGGTTTCCCAACGCGAATTATCATATCTCACGAAGGGAAGATCACCATTAATTATGCAGAAGACCTAAAAAGCTGGTGAAGCAAAAATAAAATTGGAAACAGCTCCAATCACTAGTCATCAAAGGGGAGATCCAAAATACTAGAGGGGAGAAAAAAGAAAAATGGCACTAGTGACAACCTTTCAACAAGGGAAGACGAAAAAAGAATCATACATAAAATAAAAGAAATGACAGATTTTTTAAAAATTTTTTTAGCTGTTAATTGCACAAGGGGATAAAGGGGATATTAGGGAGATATAAAAAGTATAACCAAGAATCTAGGGAAAACAAAGAAATGAAAATAGAGAAATGTAGAATATTTTAGAAAATTGATTAAACAGGCCATACATCACATTTGTCTTAGGTTGACAATTGCTTGGGATCAACCATTCTTATTTTTATGTAACTTACTTTTTATAAAACTTTGGAAACTCATGGACAGAAAGAGCTTCGAGAACAGATAAGAAAATACAATTTAAGTTGAAATCAATAAATGCCCTGGGGATCAACACACCATGTAAAAGGTCTATAATTATGGACTTCCTGATAAAATAAAATCAGGTTCAAATTTGTGCCCTGCAAGAAAGCCACTGAACAAGATCTAATCAAAATAGAATTAACTCATCAAAATATCCTACTATTATAAGTGCGGCTCTAGAAAACAAAAAAAGAGGCGTAGCATTTATGTTTGCAAAAAAGGTCTCCCTAAACTTTAACGCCTTAGTGACCAGGACGTTTTTCAATTTTCTTACCGTTGGGACCAAGGCTTTTTTTACATTTCTGTGGTGGTAATTTTCCTCTTACTCATTTACTGTACCCACACATATTATATACTGTTTTTCACGCCATTAAATGGTCTTTCTAAAGATACCATTATTTTCATCATATCATATAATTTACTATAAACAAATTATAAAAAATTGAAACACTATCTAACTTTGACCCCCAAAATCTGTTACGCATCTACAACTGCCAAAAAACACCCGTGCTAAATAGTTTTTAAATTTTGTCCTGAGTTTATAAATGCCCAATGTTAGCATGTTCTTTTAAAAAGGTTTAGGGCTATAAGCACAAGTAGCACTTTGCCATTTCCAAACCAATTTTTTTCAAAATTAACACAAGTTACACTGTAAAACTGATATCTGTCAGGAATCCCCGAATAACCCTTCACATGTATATATTTTTTTAAAGACGACAACCTAAGGTATTAAACCTGGGGTATTTTGAATCTTTTCATGCAGCCATTTTACCACCAATCTATGCCAAATTAAAAAAAAATAAAAAAATTATAATTGGTGATTATTTTGAGACACATAGCAATTTAAGAATATATGTACTTAGAACTTTAAGGGTTACTGCCAAAGAACACCCCAATAGGTGTTCAGTATCATCTCCTGAGTACAGGGATACCACCCATGTATAGGTGTGTCAGGTTCTCTGGGGGCTAAAAGACCTTATTTGGAGGGTGCGCATTCCAGTTTTCCAACTTGGAATTTTCACAGTCACAGTCATAGTCATATCGAGGCATCGTGTAATACCATAAGAGCTGCTTGAATAGCTTCCAGCGCTCAAAATAGCCGCGGACGTACCAGGTACGTCCGAGGTCTTTAAAGGCCGTTTTTTGTCAGACGTACCTGGTACGTCCGTGGTCGGGAAGTTGTTAAATATCAAGACTTAGACCCAAAAGGATGTTACATTATACTAATATGTGAAATAAATAAGCTATTCACGTTAGTTAACATTTATGCACCAAATCTACAATAAAATTTATCACAAAAGCGTTCATGAAAATAGAGCAGATTAAACCAGGGTTGGTATTAATTATGGGTGACTTTATTTGCGTAGTGGACCCTCTCAAAGATAGAAAGAGCCAGAATGACAGGATCAGCAGGAAAACAACTGAAAATAGATTGCAAAACCTACTAAATAATCATAATGTAAGAGCTATATGGAGAACATTTCATCCCTCAGACCTAGATTATACATGTTATTCTAAAACATTCAATTCATACTCCAGAATCGACCTTATCCTGGGTAACGTAACCATGCTATATTTTGTTAAAAGAATAAAGATACAAGATATAGCATGGTCAGACCATAGTCCAATTATGTTGGAATACAAAGATAATTTTGATACATTTTGAAAAGAGTGAAGTATAAAAGATTTTTTATTACACAAAAAAAAAAAAAAATAATGTTGAAGAAATTAAGAATATAACAAATCTTTTCTTTTTAGAAAATAAAGGTGGTATCACGGTCTGGTGCGCTTATAAAAGCGTAATTAGAGGCCATTTGATAAAAATGGCAGCCACTGCAAATAGAAAAGGATTACCGCCTCTCTTTAAACTGTATATAACATTAAGCGAATATAAGAGGCAAAATAAAATAACACATATCACACAATAGCAAGAAAGATTGCAGAAACAGAAAAACAGATAAATATTCAGCTAGTGAATAAAGCAACCAAGCAGTTAGAAGCATTACAATCTAAGTGGTATTTTAAAGGGTAAAAAGCCAGAAACATAAGTGTCTAATAAATTTAAAAAAGAGAAACATGAAAGAGTAATATCTAAAATAAAAGTTAAAGAAACCTATCTAATGTCCTCAGAAAAAATAGGTAGAGCGTTTCAGAGATTTTATCAGAATCTATATAATCTACCAAAATAAATATATGGCAAGGAAAAAAGATTGCGGTATTCTTAAAAAAACTTATTTATGCCAAAAATCCTACCCGACCAATTAAAGCTGATAAACAAGCCTATAACAGAAAAAGAGGTCTGCAAATCCATAGATAAGTTTACAGTAAAGACTGCCCCAGGCCCAGATGGCTTCACAAACAAATTTATTAAACTAATGAAAGACCAACTAAAAGGGGAACTTCCCACCATTTTCAACTATATAATGAAAACAAGAAGCTGTCCTGGAGAGCTGTTGAGAGCGAGTATTGTCCCTATCCCAAAAGCAGATAAAGATTTAGAACAGATTGGTAATTAGACCTATATCATTAATCAATACAGATATTAAAATATTATCTTCTATCCTTGCTGATCGATTATAAATAGTTATACCACAACTATTAATAATGACCAAGTAGGATTCATACCAAGGAGGTCTTCAATCAACAATCTTAGAAAAATAATAAACATATTAGAAGAAACAGAGAATAATGGAACCTCTCTAATGTTACTGTCAATAGACGTAAAGAAAGCGTTTGACAGGGTTGGATGGAGTTTCAGGTTTGCCACTTTAAAACTATTTGGAATCACTGGATCAATATTACAAGCTATATCCGCTCTCTACAGCTCTTCATCAGCTAAAGTAACAGGGTCAGGATTTACATCACAAAATTTCAGTGTTAAAAATGGGACTAGACAAGGGTGCCCTCTTTCCCCTTTACTGTACATAATGGTGTTAGAACCCCTTGTGATTCTAATAAGACAAAATAAAAAAATTAAAGGATTTACGAACTCCTTAGGACAAAGTAAATTAAATATTTATGCAGATGACATCTTACTAACTTTAGAAGAACCTAAAACCTCAGTCCCAGAGCTTCTAAATGAGATAAATAAATACTCCAAAGTGTCAGGATATAAAATAAACAAAGAAATACATATTTATAGCTAAAAATATGAACAAAAGGTTAATTAATTTTCTTTTACAAAACCTTTGGGCTCTCAGAAAACAAGGAGAGGCTAAAATATGTAGGTATAACATTTACCTCAGATTTAAAAGACCTAGTATAAGCCAACTTTTTTACCCTTACTAACTCAAACTAACAAAAATTTAAAGGACTGGAAAGGTATGGGATTTTCCTGGTTGGGAAGGATCAATATCCTAAAAGCATATATTTTACCAAAATGGCTGTACCTATGAAGAATGATCCAACTTAATTTCCCAGAAAACTGGTTATCTTTACTACACTCGTCTTTTTTTAAATGTGTATGGGATGGCAAAAAAGCAAGATTCAAAATGAATGTTTTGGCTAGATCAAGGCAGGATGGTGGTTTGGGGTGCCCAGAAATTTTACAATGCTATCAATCTAGCAGACTTTTCCATATATTGCTTTCACAAAATATTGCTGCAATCCAAGAAACATGGTATGAAATGGAAAAAAGCTAAAACAGGGGTAGGAAATTTTAGGTCACTATTTTGGGCCCTAGACGTGAACAAAAAAATCCATCAAAGAGTCACAAACTAAATCTCAAATATCAGAACTAACGAGTTGGTGGGACAAATTCTAAAAAACAACACAGGTCTCGGAAAGAGAATAATAGATGTTCTCCCTTTTTCTAGTATTTCAGATATGTTAGACAACATAAAAATAGACACTTGGAAAACTGGGGGGATAAGGGAATTCAAAAATATACTGGTTGAACATAAAATTAAAACCTTCAATCAAATTATGGAGGAATTTAACACTTAAGACACTTAAGTTTCTGCGAATTAAAGGGACACTATAGTATAGAACATGCCCCTGCAGCCTCACTGGTCAATCCTCTGCCATTTAGGAGTTAAATCCCTTTGTTTATGAACCCTAGTCACACCTCCCTACATGTGACTTGCACAGCCTTCCATAAACACTTCCTGTAAAGAGAGCCCTATTTAGGCTCTCTTTATTGCAAGTTCTGTTTAATTAAGATTTTCTTATCCCTTGCTATTTTAATAGCTTGCTAGATCCTGCAAGAGCCTCCTATATGTGATTAAAGGTCAGTTTAGAGATTGAGATACAATTATTTAAGGTAAATTACATCTGTTTGAAAGTGAAACCAGTTTTTTTTCATGCAGGCTCTGTCAATCATAGCCAGGGGAGGTGTGGCTAGGGCTGCATAAACAGAAACAAAGTGATCTAACTCCTGAATGGCAGTGAATTGAGCAGTGAAATTGCAGGGGAATGATCTATACACTAAAACTGCTTTATTTAGCTAAAGTAATTTAGGTGACTATAGTGTTCCTTTAAGGGCTTTTTAGCAGAATATCTCCTTCAAAACGAGGGGGGAGAAAATTACAATCCTTAAACATCTACTCG